AACAAATGTTAGGAAATACAGAGCGATAATTTTTTCTAATAAAATTATTTTCTTTTCATTTGATACCATTTCACAAACGAGCTTTGTTAGATAAAGAACGAAGTCATTTTTTTAGCTCACCCCCGAAATGTCATTACTCTATAAGCTCCATTACCAGAAGGAAATTATCCCATAAACGCTTATCTTTAAAGAGAGGAATAGCATAATGGGCTGAAGTTCACACGTTCATACATCAATGATACGTAGATGACAGTATTTTACGAAACAGACTCGTGTTTCTTGTGTGACATGAGCTCTAGTTATATCTCGCGGTCACTGTTTTCTCACGGTGAGTTCCTCTTACCAGGGCACGTGCTGCTGGTGTAATGCATCACAACAGTGGAACGCTGTGTGTGATCTGTAACACAGATTAGGTGAGACACCACTAGAGGGCTGCCTGTGTTTTAGTAAGGATGGCATGCTCAGGATTAGAAGCAAACGTTACTAACACTTTTAGGTTGTCTAGAAAACTGCTTTTACTAGTTAGGAAACTTTAGCCATGAATAGGATCAACAATTACTGGAATCTTAGTCAAGTATGAAATACTATAATATTTTTCTGGAAAGTGTTAAACATTTATCGTTTTTGTTTACGCCCATGATTATCCTGCAAGCAATACAAACATAACTTTTCACTAGAATTAACGACTAGAAACTTTTAAACCAAGGAAAAAAATTATTATCTATTCTGGTAATTACTTGAATCGCCATGTGGTGGCGTAGGAATAGCAAACTAGAAGTAAAATTGTTTCACCCAAAAGGAATGACAGCTTTCTAGTGATAACACTCAAATATATAAACCAAGTATTAAAACATAATAAAAGTGTGTTAGGCATTCTTTCCTCAATCGTTTTTATTTCCTTCCCAAGTTTGTGTGTGTGTGTTTAGTTATCTAATCCTTTTTATTTCCTTCCCAAGTTTGTGTGTGTGTGTTTAGTTTTCTAATCGTTTTTATTTCCTTCCCAAGTTTGTGTGTTTAGTTATCTAATCCTTTTTATTTCCTTCCCAAGTTTGTGTGTGTGTGTTTAGTTTTCTAATCGTTTTTATTTCCTTCCCAAGTTTGTGTGTGTGTTTAGTTTTCTAATCATTTTTACGATTCATTGTTCTTCTAAATAGACATCATCTTCAGGATTGATTTTTATCCAAACCAAGTATCAAGTTGCCATACTTAGAATTCATTTTTCTTCAAACATGACTCGTCATTTTTTCTATATTGATGTGTGTGTGTGTGTGTGTTTTCTTATAGCAAAGCCACATCAGGCTATCTGCTGTGTCTATCGAGTGGAATCGATCCTCTGATTTTAGTATCGTAAATCCGAAGACTTACTGTTGTATCATCGGAGGACGCTATGTTGATGATTTTATTCACTATACTGATTCTGTTGCTGATAACAAACCGATATAAAGCTGAAACCAAAAAGAGCCCCAAGAACGTTTTCATATTAAGTTTTTTCAAAGGTAGTTAACGTTTATCAATATTTACAAAAACATAGTTCCATGTCCTTAAGGTGTATAGCATGTCCAACACGTATGCACAGTTCCATGTCCTTAAGGTGTATACCGTCTTCAACACGTACACAAAGTTTCATGTCCTTAAAGTGTATAGCGTCTCCAACACGTATGCACAGTTCCATGTCCTTATGGTGTATAGCGTCTCCAACACGTATGCACAGTTCCATGTACTTAAGGTGTATAGCGTTTTCAACCCATATGCACAGTTCCATGTCCTTATGGTGTATAGCGTCTCCAACACGTATGCACAGTTCCATGTCCTTATGGTGCATGGCGTCTTCAACACGTACACATAGTTTCATGTCCTTATGGTGTATAGCGTTT